CCTGTTTCATTTCCTCTTGATGAGCATATTCATGACCAGAGTTTTGAGCGTGAGCGTAGCTCTTTACGAGCGGCCTAGAATCCTCTCCCTCTACCGCAATAAAAAAAACACAAGTGCGATTGAGCTGTTTGAAAACATATGTATGTGGTATGGAGAATTCTGGAGAGAATCATTCGTTGGTTCAAGCAGGCTCTTCGTTGCAAGTTTTTTTTACTGTGCGAACGCTTTACTCATTTGCGTACTTACGCGAGTATTGAGGGCAAGTAGTTAACCTCAACAAGCTGTTTTCAGCCACCGTTTGAACCTTGGACTTTCAGAACAGCCTCAATGCCGCAATCAACAAAATGAGTACAACTCTTGATGAAGAACATGCAGGACGTACCGACACATGCTGTACTGTTGATTCTGACATGGTGGATATATCGTGCCGGGTTGCCATGGTTGTGTAGACATTATGACTCTCGGTTACTGGAAGTCCAACTTCAATAATATCGCCTTACAACAAAAAATCAACATTAGCAGCAAATAAATTGTAAATCCGTCGTGGGTGCACAGATAATGTCAGAATTGACGTCGGCGCTTTTTAGTGTGAAGGTATAACGATTTATCTAAGACACTAGGACATTTTGACACAGGGAGTTGCTTTTCGCTTAGGGCAACTTTGGCCGATATGGACTATTGTTGATAGACGAAGTAATGTGGGCATATTTTGCCGCCCAAAACTGCACGGGGTCAGAGTACGGGGCCGTGGGAAAGTCGTAATTCCTTGCTACACCGCCCATTTCGCAAACTCACGTTTATGCTAACACCGTCCGCGCGGCGCGTGTCGCGTGCAGCTCTCTTGGCTTTTTGTCCTGTAATTGCGCTTTGGAATACAAGTAAAACGCAATTTCCTGATGCGGATAACATTTTAGGTGCTGCAAAATAAGAACCGAAGATGATGACGAGGGCCAGAACTCAAGAGCAACTGTGCTGCTTCTGCAATATCCCTCGGAGGCCGCGCATTCCCACAAAACATGAAAATAAAAACGGCCTAAGCGTCCCACTCGTTAGTTTGAAGTATTTCTATGGCTTTGGAGCCGATTCGCGCCGGATCGCAGAAATTTACACGCGATTTTAATTAATTTGCATTTAATTTTTTCATTTTTGTTTTATTTACATCTACATTCGTTGTTCTTCATTTCTAGCCTTTGTCATCTTCATCACCTTCTATTCGGACTTTGAAGCATGAGCAACACCTCAAATGTTATTCGCATCAGGAAATTGCGTTTTGCTTGTATTAAACTAACGAGTGGGCCGGCCGTTTTTATTTTCATGTTTTGTGGGAATGCGCGGCCGAGGGATGTTGCAGAAGCAGCACAGTTGCTCTTGAGTTCTGGCCCTCGTCATCATCTTCGGTTCTTATTTTGCAGCACCTAAAATGTTATCCGCATCAGGAAATTGCGTTTTGCTTGTATTAAACTAACGAGTGGAACGCTTAGGCCGTTTTTATTGTCATGTTTTGTGGGAATGCGCGGCCTCCGAGGGATACTGCA